TTAAAAAAATGAAAATAAATTACAATATTTAGAGAGGAAGCCACATCAGCCATAGTTAGTTTCCATGTGGCTCCTCTATCCCGGTCGAAATTCAAAGTGTTGGTTTTTGGGGAGGGAGGAAAACCGGAGAACTCGCAGAAAAACCCTCGGAGCAAGGAGCAAGGCGCGAACCAACAAAAAACTCAACCCACATATGGCACCGGGCCGGAATCGAAAGGCAAGCGCTCTCACCACTGCGCCATCCTTGCTCCTCGCAATTTTTTCATTTTGTGTAATCCAGACATAACACGATTCCAAATTCCAGTGGCGGATCTAGGGGAGGGGCTCGAGGGAGGGGCCCGGGAAGCCCGGGTACCCCCGTTATTTTGGGTGGAAAAAGAAGAAATCACAGAAGGAAGAAAAGCCGGCAGGGCAAGCAAAACAAAACCACCTTCCCCCCCTCCCTTTAGCTCAAGGTCTGGATCCGCCACTGAATTCCTCTACCAAAGTTGGAATGGAATGAAAAAGAACAAAAAACACAGAAGAACAAGCATTCAAATGACAGTGGCATCTATTGTACTGTTAAAAGAAGAAATTCGGGGTACGTAGCATATAACTGGTTCGACTGAAGGAGTTTATTCAAGTACTTGGTAGAAATCAGAGGAAGCTTTACCACAGGTGCTATTGTCAAAGATGATATTAATTTTACAAACCGGAATCAAATAAAGCAGTCAGCTCTTCAGAGGGGATCATATTCCAACATGAAGAACAGTTCTTTTTATTTTAATTATTATTTAATTAATCTGTCCCATTTAGGAGCAAGGAAAAATCTGCGTCAGCCAAAGTGACCCATTCTTACCACCGTATCATATCTTAGATTTTGTAGCATTTAGCGAACGCAAGAATGTCAACTACCTGGGTGGAATACTACTTCTTCGCAGGGGTATACCCTCGGCTTAGCCGCCACAATGTTATAAACGGTGCAGAGACAGTGAGAGTAAAGTGTCTGGCCAAGAACACAGCGCAACAGCCACGGCCAGGACTCGAATCCAAACCGTTCAATGGTGAGTCCTGCGCGCCAACAAAAAAGCCATCGCGTCTCCGATATCTT